AAACAACACGTACAGTTGTCATTCGGAGCAATGGCCTCTCGTCGTACCATTGAATGGACTAGTCTTTAAGAACGCAACATTGCGATGACCCGCTCGATCGGAGAAGACATCGTTAATTGTTAATCTTTGTTAAGCGTAGATGGCGTAGTCCTCGTTATTCAGGCGCAGAATATTTGTTAAGCGTAGATAGCGTAGTCCTCGTAGTCCATGGCTTACGCCGGCGCGAACAGGATCAGCCTCGTACCACGCAAGATCTCGAATGCTCGGTTTACTAGTGATGAAGGAATGATCTCCGGTCTTGTTTAGAGCATACAACACCACAAATGATTTCTCAGAACTAGTGAACACCGAAGAGAGCTGCTCCAGCATGCAACACTAGTTAACTTCCGCTGTAGACTTTTCATGTCTGGTGGTTTTCTGTTTCGGGAATTCTGATTTGAGTCGCTGGAATTTCACTACTGGCATTCACTCCTTCGCATTCATTCGCCGTTGTTGTGGTAGATCACAACGCAGGAAAAACTACCAACCTTCCGTAGGGGCGCAATCACAAACGCGAGACGTTTCGCGCGCTGAGCAAGCGTGACCTTACCGAAACCTCAAGAGAAGAGGAGGAAATTATGCCCGCCAATCTTTCTGCCAGGGGAAAAACCACCACTTGTGTTTAAAGTGGAACTTCACTATCCGACATGTACTACCGGTAAAGTTCTCGTTCCTCGAATTCAGTGTCACTACCCGAACTTTGCTGAGCGCATTGCTTCCTTCCTAGCAATGCGAAACCACCCCTGTGAAATACGCTACCTACCTGTAATGCTGGGTAGTTCGTGTTCTGTGTCAATCAGTGCGTCTCTTTGAGACTCGATAGCTGCGCCGAAACGCCGTAAGGTAACGCTTGATGATCATTTCTCGAAAGGCGACGTTGGTCCCATTGCACACTCGACAACTGACGATAAAGCTATAGAGGAGCCGAAGAAACGTTTCCCAGCAGTAGTCCTGCGCTGCCTACAGTACGACTCATGTGTCGAAAAAACTACTGAAAAGCGATCGGAGCATGATGCATGCACGGAAACCGCGATTCCTGGCAATGACGTTGGGTTTTACGCGTTTAACGGGCCGAGACGCCAGGAGTTGCAGCACAACGAGACTAGATTGCATTTGCTAAAGACGACATTGAAACCAGGCGCTAACTACAGGTTTCGCTGAGTTAGTAAGCGAAAACAGAAGTTCCAAATTCACTGGCAAGAAATCTTTTCCTGGCTGTTAGTGTATTCGAAATATCACGATGGAGCAAGCCATGTGTGCTTTTTGGAAAAGAAAGTTCAGGCAAGGAGACTCACCAAGCTCTTGGTGCAAGCTTCGTCACCTCGTTAAGACGTCGGAAGAACGCGCTTGAAAATTTCAGAAGCCACAGCTATTGTGGCTACCACAAGGCCGCTGCTCTATTCACGACAAATTTTCTAGAAGCACTCAAAAGCGAGTCAATCGCTGATAAGATGGAGTCATCAGCGCGTGCACAAAACGAATTAAACGAAAAAGAAAACTGATATCCCCCACAGACACTTTCATCTTCTGTGGGTGGCAAAAGGATTGTGATAGATGATTATGAGAACCACAATATAATTATGAGAGGCGTAGTAGTGAGGAGCTACGGAACTTTACCGCTTTAGGTATTTAACTTGTAACTAAATCAAAGTGCATGGACCTCGATAATTTTAGCCTACATTGAAAACACGACAGGAATTCGATTGCACGACCTGCGGGTTAGCAATGGAGCAGCATAACCACTGAACCATAGTGGCGGGTAGTAAAAAAAGACGGTTTGGGTAAAATCACTATGCTCTACGTTTCGTCCAGCTGTTAGGGCGTAAGTTCATCTGGTTGAGATATATTGCTGAAAATCAATTCAACACTGGGGCAGATTGATGAAAGGTGTGAATGGCAACGCAACAACCCAAGTTTTCTTGTTATAACTCTTGTAAATTTTGGGTAACTTATGTGGCATATAATATGGCATGCATTGCGCATCATATTCTTCAAGTCATTTGAAAAAGGCAATCAACAGTATTCCGCTGTGTTACGCATCTCTTCGCTGCGTGAAACATTGCTTTCACAGAGTTTATTTCATTTCTCACGAAAATTCATGGTTACTATGTATACTGTTCTTAATTTTAAGGATAACATGTCTACGTCCATCCACTCTTCATGCTGTGCATTTCTTGTGTGTTATGTCAGTAGTTGCAGAAATCGCTTGATGTGCCCTTGCAGTCATGTCAATGTAAAGGGACGAACAGATGAGGCGAATCAATATAAATATTTTACAGCTGAAGCTGTTATAATATCACTACTCGGGTCACGCGCTATCGTCCGCTGCCGCCACCGGTGTCTGCAAAGCACATCGCGCGAAGTTAGAAAAAAAAAAAAACCGATCGCCAATGACTCAGTGGGGCTCGAACACGGGTCCGCTGGTTGCTAGCCTAGTTATCTACCACTGAGCAACGCGTTTTTTTTTTTGCTTTATAGCCTGTTTCCGATGCTACGTACATTAAAAATGCCGTAAAGGTCGCGAAAACAAGTGGTGGCAGTCCTACGGAATGTCTGTGATACAATTTTACCCGTTCTAGTGTACGGGTTCATATACAGTGGAGGTCAAGGGCAGGATGTGCTAAAAAACAGTTATAATAATGCAAGTGACTCCTGCCACAAAGATGCTCTTTTTTAGGCTTCACTGCGGCAATTTGCACTTCAAGGTATTTTTAGAAGAGCGGGACGTCTTTCTACCTTGGGGATCAGACTGTCTCATTTGTAATAAGCCAGAAAATATTGACCACGTTTTTTTTTACATTGCTGGGAGGAAGTGTATTTTTGGGATGTATTGCAGAGGACAATCAAAAAGCGATTCCCGCTAGACCTATATGGTATCAGATTTCTTTCTGATCGAAAATGAGAATGGTTTGCCATTTGACTTACACAGGCTTCCATGTTAACAGGCTTCCACTGTTTATGGTGGGCCCGTTTGACAGGATTTCACTGTGATTCAGATGCACGACCCGCAAGAATGTACTTAAGAGAGTGCGTGGCGAAATTTGTGGAACTTACGAAAGCACAGGACACTGAGCTACGACGGTGCTCATGACTTCTCGGCAAACTTCCCTTAGACAGTCTTGATGTCTGGAAAGCAGTTGGAAAGCATTAATACGACTGATAAAGCGTTTTAAAGCAACGAAAAAACAACCAGTCGTCTCATAATACGAATAGAATAACAAGTGAACCGTCCAATGCTCCAACCCATTACAAAAGCTTCTTCTCGTTTCCCTATTAACTGTGGCGCGTGTCCACTTCAGCCGTAATTCCTCATTGTCGTCAGTCACTGCATGGACCGTCGATAGCTCAGTTGGTAGAGCGGTGGACTATAGAGGTTCCAGTCACTGCATGGACAATTGGCGCGAAAATTTCTTGCAAGTGTTTAGTGGATACCACGCTTCTCGGAAGAATGACGAAAAATAGCATAGCGAATGCTGACCTACTGCCTCCCGCCCAAAAATTATTAATAATGCCCTAGCGGGTATAAAGCAAGTGTGCTTGCAGTAGTTGTCCAATGAGTGTTCTGAAAAGGCTCTCAAAGGCCGCTCTTTTAGCTTTATCTTTGACTGTGCTGCGCCTTCCGCGCAGAGCTGGCGTTTTTTTAATTTGTTGTATATTTTTTCAGTTTTATGTTGTTTATTTTTGCCCTGTTTACCACGTTGCTGAACAACAAAACTTGTGCCCAAAACAACTACCCACACTTAGTTGCTCTCTATGCTGCTTTAGGTTTTTGCCCATCATCGTTTTATTTGTAAGCTTAAGTTACATGATGAGTATTTTAGTAGGCATTTCTATGGTTGCGATTGGCCTGCACGTTTACCTATGTTGCACGTCCTGACCAGACAACGCTTCGGAGTGCTTTTATCAGTTAGGGTACAGTCGTCAGCACCTTTGACACGAATGCTCCGCCGCGTGTCTCGCAGCAGTTTGATTGACGCTGACACCACGTACGTTTGGGTTATGTTGCCAAGATGCTAGGCATACATGCCAACGTATTATCCAAGCCTACCGAGGTATTATCTCGGCAAAAGCGCCCAGCAGTTTGCGGCTGGCATCAATCAAACTAGCCTTGGCCACGCATATAAGTGTTCGTGTAAAAGGTGCTGACGGCTAGCTGTACAAGAGGAATGCTGTAACCACTTCAGTAATGCAAAATTAGTTTCTGCTAGCAAATATTTTCTCTTGGTAACAATTTGTCAAGAGTAGCTGGGTAATGGATAGTATGATTTCTGTGGAGGTGGGCCATTAATTTCTTCTTGTCACTGTGTGTAACACGTTGAAACCTCTAATTGACCAGTTATACGCCACTTGTTTTTGTACGTTTGTTCATAGGTGGCAGCGCACTGCAGGTGATTTGCTTGTTGCCGGGTGTGAAAGGGAAATATTCTGTGCCCCAAACGTGGTGTCATCGCGCAAAATGTCATGGAATTCATGCTCTACCAGAGCACGGACGATTGAGATGTGTTAGTAAAACAATGTGAGCTTGAACTGAAAAGTTCAGACGACAACATTTAACTAACCTACGTGGCTACCTCACAAAGCTGATGTGTGTACCCTGTTGACTATCTTTGAAAGCGCGAGTCGCAACGTATTTTCGAAAGAACTAGAACTAATATTTATCGCGTCAGGTGGCGCCAGCTTTGTTCAGACTGTGCCGCCTACTGGCTCTCCTAAAGAGGAGGTTCCTGCGAGCTATTCTGCGAGAAAAAAGAATGTAAGTAGGTTAGAGGGGGGAGGAGGCTGTGGATGTTTCTTTGAATTAGAGTAGTGATAGGGAAGAACCATGTCACAATGGCAGGTTAGAAATTTTTGGAAGACACAGCCTAACTCTCACGTTCGCCGTGCTCTGACTGAATGCCGTGTTGTTTGGCAGATGTTGGATGCGTCCAACGCTTGACCTATGAAATCGTTGTTGTGCGCAGGTCGAGCAGAGGCGTGTGCGCAGTCTTGGCAGAAGAAAGAGTGATGGACGAGGAGCTGTCGAGCAGCTGAGCGCGGGCTGCAACACCGACCTGTATGTATGCTGATTCCTTGCATTTATACTCTGACGTGAGAGAAGGCTTGCTAATGTATAAAATGGACAGGTTTCCGCCTATGATTCGGCTAAAAATACGGAGCTCAGTCATATTCACGCATGAAATATATTTTGAAATCGCACTCAGACTCAAAACGTTTGCTCAATCGAACTCTTTCGGAATCAAAACCACCATAGTATTACACAGTTCGGCTGTCACTGGTCCTATTTATTAAAGAGGCGATCGCCCGGCTATTTCTGAGGGACGACGTATCAGCTGCCTGAACTGCACCACGAAAGCACAGACAATTTAAATTTGGTCCAATGGGGCGCGCCAGCGAACGCAGGCTGTGGTCCAACGAACGAGTCAGAGACAATAGTTGATAACAAACAAAAGTATATTTTCAAATACGGCATATCAAACAATACACAAATATGCACACTCGGCAATATTTCAATACAGTATGTCACCAATCGCAAGATACTGAGATCAACAAGCTACAAAACACACCAAGCTATACTCAAGACAACGGGCGGAAAGAACACGCGCTACACTGCAATCTCATGCACTAACCAAGACACTTAAAGACTAAAATGCTCTTCAAACTTATTCAGTCTAAGGTTCTTGAAACAAAGTTTGAATTATTTTTTTCGACAAACCACTAACTCAAGTCCAGTGCTGCTACCGTCCCACTGCTACCGAAATTTCTCTTCCAGGAAACGTGGCCTCGTCAAATGTCCGCACTCCGATAAGAAAACTTCTTCGCCGGTAACACGTCGGCCACTCACGCGCTGCGACTGCAGAACGTGTATTCGCCCACTAGCGGTAAACACACACTCTTCTGCTGCTTGTAATACAAGCCTTCACCCGCACGTGGAAAACTTCTTTATCTCATCTGCTTTGTCACTGACGACATAAGCCTTTACCCGATGGCAAAAAAGCTCCCATCTCCTGCTCTACGCACGCTGACGCAAAACTTCGTCTCGTGCTCACCACCATTCGCTGCTCGCTTAAACACGTTCGTCCTGAGTTCTGGAAGGTTTGAGCCGTTTCGTCGGCGCGCCTCACCGTCGAAGCTGTGGAAAGGGCGGGACCTCTCTCGTGAGGTGGTGCAACTCTGCATCACCTAGTAGATTTTTCCAGAGGTCGCTCTACGACAGATGCGAGGAGGTTGGTAGGCGTATCGCGGCGCCTTCGAGGTGAGAGACGGCGCGCCCGAGAAGTCTGTTGATGTTTGTTTTCTTCTTTTAGCCGATTTCGGGCGCATCCGAATAGCGCCAGGTATTTTGTCGCTGTCGCTAGTACTCGAAGGCGCGCGCTTTCATGGAGGCTCGTTTGTGGCATCGACTCAGTCAGACAAGGCTCTTACGGCTCTGTCCGAGTCTGAGTGAGCCTAGATGGGAGCACATGTAGTGAGTTCGCCGACATATGGCTCAGCTTCATTCTTATTCCTCCGAAGTTCAGCTACGCTGTGCAGAAAGATCAGGACAGTTTATTACTTTGAAGGCCCCCTTTTTTTGGACGAACGTTACAGAAGGGGTGGGGTTTTATTATGTTAACAATATGCAGTGAACGTAGTTTTTAATGTTGCAAATGATCCATATACAGTCTAGAAAAGCAGACGATGACCCAATGGGGACGATATTCCGGGGAAGGCCGTTCCAGTCCGTGGCTGCTCGAAAAAAAGAAGGATGCAGGGGAAATTTAGCAGATCCGATGAACCTTGGGAATTTATGTTTTGTGATAGAAATGGTGTGAGGGCAACTATGTCGTAATTTTATTGCTGAGTGAAAACTTACGTAGTGGCACTAAAACATTTACAAATGCACGCAAAGGCACACGTCTATATAAGTTTCGTGTAAGCAGTTGTCTACAGTTGCGTAGCGATGAAACCAGCAACATAGCAACACCAGAAGCGGTAAGCTTATATGAAGCGCTGGTTTTCGCTACAATGGTAGGCCTAGACACTGCTACATCAATCAACTTCAGCAGATGGCGTCTATTTGCAATGTACGTTAACCCAACGGGACAGGTGTATCATAGGAGTACATATGTAATGTTTATAAAATGGAATAGCCGGCAGTGCAACCACGATTGACGTTTCATAAACATTAGGGTCTATTTGAGAAATAGTTCCAAAACCTAGCGTGGCTCTGTGACAGAATAGTTATTGCCATGCGAAATGATGGGGGTTCAATTCCTGCTGGGACCACAACATTCATACTTTGCATTCTTTGAATCAACGCTGCTGATTTCAGTGCTTTCTTAACGCCTACGCTATCAAATTATCTATGTTCGTTCTCGCTGTTCCTCTTGAAGTGGTAAGCCTAAAAGATTAAGGAGGTGAAGCGTACGTGCCGAACATTTGCCGATTATTATTTCGAGAAGAAGCAGCTTCAAGCCACGCGAAGCCAAAAGAAACGTAAAGTATGAAGACTAGGCAAATCCGTGTATTACCCATCATTCTCATCCTCGCTGAAGTGCCGTGCGTTGCAGATCTTTTAGACACTAGTGCCAGAGTTCACTCTAATGTATATTTAGAATATTCTATGTTCACTATTCCTCTCTTCACCAACTTTGAGCGTGATGTTTGATATGGAAGCAGTGTCTTGTTGGCGCGAGGATCGTTCTTCTTGTGAATGCATTCGTCATCGGATAATACGTTGACGTGAAGAAAGCGAATACTACCGCCTTCCGGCAGCTCGTTTGTTTACAACTAGAGGGGATAAGTGCTCGCGTATGCAGAAGAAAGTGTTATAATGGCTAAAGAATTAAAACAGTCAGCGCTGCAGCAAAGAAAAAAATTAAAAAATCACCGGCATATCAAACAATATTTTAATCTTGAAATCTGGGGACTGATCATTCATGTTTTTCTCAATTTCTACTAATAATAAATTGCTAAGAGTTGGCGCAATACAGGAGTTGATGCAATGCCTTGTTTCTGTGTATGGGGCTGCCCCTCCCATAGGATAAACGTAGTTTGCAGACAAAAACTCGGAAGTTTCAAAAAATGCCCGTATTTCATTCCAGTAGCCTTCATGAAGGCGACATTTCCAGACAAGACTCTTATCGCTTGTGTGTGTTACGCCTCCATTAGTACGTGTTTTTTGTGCGCTATAAGACATGAATTAAACCAAGTCGACCTTTTCTCTTTTCTTGTGTTTATATTGCACGCAACCGCCGGGTTATAGTCGCAACAGACTACCTAGCCATCGTATCGTGGAACAAAGGCTATCCAAAAGAGCCCCGCAGCAGAGCTGGCGAGATTTTTCATAGTAAATATTGTGCTGTGCCACGGTGCCCCGACTATCGTGATAACAGACCGCGGAACAGCATTAACGGCAGCTCTTTTATTTATTATTTATTATTTATTTATTTATTTATTTATTCTTTTATTAACAAAACCTCCACAGGCTCCATCAGGAGTATTGTGTGAGGGGGGGTATAGACAGTGCATATTCACATTATTTGAAATATCAAAACATGATTATACTCGTTATATAACATAAAAATAACGTTATATAATTGTTAGCGAGTACAAGCATGACATGCAACTACTAAACAAAATGCAGATAGACTCATTTGTAAGCGTGCAACCCATAACAATAACAAATGATTCAATATGCAGCGAAGACTAATATACATGGTTTAGTGGAAGGTTGATGCCGCTGACGATGAAACAATGGCTGTTACTTCTTGACGAAACAATACGGGATTATGAATGTGGACAACATTATCGGGAAGACCATTCCATATTTCGAGAGCTGCTGGTAATGCTGATGAGTTGAATGCGTTTGTGTGCCCGAAAATGTGTTTGAAAGAACGGCTATTGTGCGAATGGCGAGAAGTGCGTGTTGGCTGGGTGAGAGGGAGGGTGGTTTCGTGCATACCGGATGCTATTTTGTGAAACAGGCAAATCAAGGCGATTTTTATGTGAGAATCTAAGGGAGGCACTGATAGTGATGATTTAATGTGAGTGATACTCACATTCAACCACGTCCTGATGCTAAGTGGAACTATTCACCGTAAGACCATTACCTACTACCCGCAAATGAATGGACGGACAAAGAGCCTCAACAAGACGCTTGAAGACATGCTGTCGAAGTACGTGGATGCCCAACATAATGATTGGGACGAAATTTAGCACTATATTACGTTCGCATACAATGCAGCTAAAGAAGAAACGACTCGCATGACTCCATTCAGCCTGGTTCACGGACAGGAGGCATGAACAACGCTGGATGCGATGTTGCCACAAATGGGATGGCACCGACATGGGCTCCTGGCTAAAAGCGCGGAAGCCGCTGAGCAGCTCGCGCGCTTATTGATTCGCCAGAAACAAGACTATGACTGAGGCTGCTACAATGCCCACCTTAGAACGGTTACCTGTGACAGAGTGTGAATTTGGACACCCATACGAAAACGTTGACTGTCCGAGAAAGTGCTAAGGCGATATTTTGGACCATCGCGAGTATTGCGGCAGCTCAGTGACGTCACCTACGAGGTCGTCCCCGACAGCCCCCACTGCACGTAGCGTCTCCAGCACTGGGCTGAACTTGTGCATGTAGTGCGTATATATGTGAGGGACTGACTGCACGTTGAAAAAAAAATATTGGCCCCATGTCTGCATGTTTCATTGAAAATGTCAAAGGACGATAGTCTTGCGTCTGGAGAGAATCAACAGAACGTTTATTTGATGTTCTGCGCGAGAAAATTGGTGAATTGTGTTCTGGAGGCACTGCATTGTAGAGTCTCGATCCGTGCAGCGAAGGCGAACGAGCGCATCGAGGCACGTTGTACGCGAGCGCTATCTGGCAGGTATCTTCGAAAACAAAGGAAGGCGTGCGCGCCTGTCTCGGAGGTGATAAGGTGTGCACCGCAAAGATGATTGATTAATATGTGTGGTTTAACGTTTCAAAACCATCATATGATTATGAGAGACGCCGTAGTGGAGGGCTCCTGAAATTTTGACCAAGTGGGTTTCTTTACCGTGTATGCA